AAACATAAATTTAATTATTGTGCCTTAATTGCCGCGTCTCGCTGACCGCAACTGGAGCACCAAAAACAGCTTACAAAAAACCAACAAGGAACGGCCAACTATGTTTCAACCTGTATGCATCTCGTTATATCAATTTATTAATGGAATTACGTCTGCCAACTTCTGCACACTTTGTAACCTTATGATGAAGTATTTTTTTATTTAGAGCAAGACTTAATGGAAACCTCAACCGCAAAATATTGGATAGGCGGTGCAAACCTCCCATGTGTTTTCATTCGGAATTTATTGTATTACATTTTTTAAGATGCCTTGCAGTGTTTTCTACTTATCAACATCGATCAATATCGCATATATATACAAAACACTCATATCAAGTATCCTATCGCGAGGTAAAACTTGGTTTTTTTAATCAAAAAATACTTTTCGAATTTAAAGACAGTTGAAAATCTTGGTGATATGAAGATTCGAGAAAAAAGCACAATTTTTAAAATTATTGATTTTAATTTAAACATGTGTTTTTTTCTTTCGAATTCACATTCGTATCGCCATACAAAAACAGGCCCATAGTTACAAATCATTTTAAAATGAATAATTCTAAAAACTTTAAACTGAAACAAACATTTTAGTATGACCGAAGATTATTTACTCCTTAGGAACCCCGACAACTTTGTAAAGAAAATTCAACAAAAAACCCCGGCCAATATTCTAAGGTAGACAGGGGACAAGAGAGTCTTAAGTTGATAATGTTTTTTTTAATTCAATTAATTTTGGAGAGGCAACTTTTCGCACTATAGTGAGATTTGGGAAGGAAAAATAAATTCTTCGAAATTAAAATTTGTTGCAGATTTTATAAAGTCTTCTGGAACTGAAATGAATTTTTTTACAACATGGGTAATCCTTCTACAAATTACCATTTTAGTATTAGCCTAGTGTCCAATGTCTATATGTTAATATGGTTTATGACTTGGTTTCAAATTGTCCACTAAATGTTTAAAATTTGTGAAAATGGTTGCACTGAGCACTCCTCTTTCGGTACTTATGAGCTACTTCATATCGATGATGTAATGCTTAAGTGTTCCATACTTCGTTGTTGCCTTTTTGAGGTGATGATGATTTCTAAGGTTATTCGGTATACGCTTTCATATCCATGTAAAGATGATGAGTGTATAAAGATTTGTAGTGGTTTGCGACTGTGAAATGAATAATTTAAGAATTTAACAAACACATTTCAAAAATCAGAATATTAATTTTTAAATTCAAAAATTAAGAATTCATAAACTCACAGGTGGAAAAATGTAGGGTGTTTCTTTTCAATAGATAGATTATTGAAAATAAACACCCTACATTTTTTACCTGTGAGTTTAAGAATTCCAAAGTCTAAATTTGCAATAGCTAAGCTTACTTGTGGCAAGTCTCTGTTTATAGGAGTGGGGGATAGTGAGAATTAAAATGAGAAAAAAAAATGATTTTGCTGACAACTCCATTCTGTCCTTATTTATTCTGTTTCAGAATGTGCAAGAATCTACTAGTTTTGCAATTTTTCATATACAAATTTTTTATTTTAAAAATAAAAATCAACATTCTTGGGGTTCTGGAACAATTTTAATTCAAAAAATATAAAACAATGACAGAAAAGGCTATAACGAAAAATGAAAATCTTTAAAAAAAAAGATTGCCTTGTATAAAAGACTGAGGGAAGTTCAATTTCGGATAGTCTTTTATTTCGAACGTTCCCACGCCTCACATTCCCACCCCTTACGTAGGGATTACGTAGGGATCGCGTACACATCATGATCCGCATCATAATGGGAATTTAGTAGGAAATTGAAGACTAGCTACTGAATCTAATTCATCAGTTAGTTTGTCAAATAATAAAACACGTATTTTAATTGTTTAAAAATAAAATTATTCTAGATTTAATAACATCTAAACTCATACCAAAATCCTAATCAGAATTAATGAGGGATGTTCCAAAGTGAACGATAATTTTTTTCACAAGTAAACTCACCTAATGTAAATCAGGACTACCATTTTTATTTCAATAGGTTTCGCAACAATTCTAGGCGCAAATATGAACAAAATTCACAATCAGCTCTAAGCACTTAAAGATGTAATTTGTGAAATGTAAATTGTGAATATATTTTTCTTAAAAGAACTAAGTGGCGTATGGAACACTTAAACATGACACCAATAGGATGCAGGCAAAAATGTTTTCTGACTTTGGTTTCTTTAACACAAAAAATCATTTCCCTCGTATAGATGAAAGTTACGTCGTCAATCTTCCTCTGGTCTGTCGGTCTATATACAGTTGGATCCGAAATGGAATTTTTTTCTATTTTGGTCTTATGCTCATAATTATTTTTGCTTATTGTCATGGCATTAGTGAAATGTGGTGCTTATCATATGTTTTAATGTCTTATGCTCACTCTCGACTTATTTAAACTTGTATTATTCAAGTTTTTGCATAAATTATTATAATGCCTATTTACTCCCATTGTCTATTAAATACGCTCTTCAAACTTTGCGATAGAAAAGAAATAAAGAAGAGGAGGCAGGCAAACTAAGTCAGGAATAGCCAGAGTGCTCTGTAAACAATTGAACTGGACCGATTCCCACTTTGTTACATACATTACAATATTCTTTTGTCTTAATGTCTTATCCTGTTTGCCGTTATATTAAACATTTTTGCCATAAATTATTTGACATATGTTAATTCCCGATCTTCGAACCTTGAAATTGTAAATATATAAATCAAGATGAAAAAGTAAGAAGAAATCAAACCAGCAGAATAGCCTACTTCTACAACTCGGTAATTGTGTGCTTCACAGGCAGAAATCTTCAAAATCATGTAGCCAACAGGACCGCGTCACAGTCTAGAGTTCATGCCCTATTTAACGTGTCATGTTTTGTTTGTTAAAAGTGTTAATAACATCTTCTTTATATTCCGAATCTGTTTCTTTTTGAGATGAACACATCATCAAAGGTCACTGCAAGTTCTCTAACACCGACCCTACAGTAATTCTTCAATTAACCAGAAGACTTAAGTGGCTAAAGACGACACGGCAAAATTTCTATCCCAGGATTACCCTCATAACTCAATTTCCTATCAATAATATCTTTTTTCCACCAATCTTTCTTTCTTCAACTTTCTTCATTTAGTATGAACACAATGGACCAGCAGGTCTCCGAATGTAGCGGCTACCAAACGCAACCCCACGGGTTTTAACATAACCTAACCTACACTTTAGATTTATTTTTTTATATAAAATTTCACTTCAATTTCAAATTATATTTGTCATAATTCTACAATAGGAAAACTCAAACCTAAAATCTCCTTGCCCTACTCCTCCCTGTGAATAGCAGAGAAGCTTAGTCACTTATGTGAACCTGCTTTAGTGGAGCTATGAAAATAATCTTTTACAATTTTGGATGTTTTTAAGTTTCGTATTGAACATTCCGCTGTCTGCATCATCATTAAACTATGTTGAAACTAGTGTGTTCTGTAAGAATTTCCATTATAAACTAACATACACAGACACACACACACATCTTGATATGAGTTTCCTGATAACTTCCAAAATATAATATAAGATCCTCACTGAACTGCAAACAAAAAAAAAACAATGGATTTTTAACTTAAAAAAATAAACTTTTCTAAAAGCTGGATAATCTTGATTTTTTAACAATCATTTTCTAATTGAAAAAATAAATAAAAAAAATAGTGGTCGTAACTTTTCAACTTTATGTTTTTCAAGGAAAATACACCCATTACCATTGTTCGCACATCATCAGTAATTCCTTAATAATTGAGTTTTGAATTGGTGGTATTGCATTTTTCTGGGAGAATCTTCGTCCAAGTAGGCTATTTATGATATGAGGTTCTTACATTTTTCACATTTCACATCGGAAAAGGCTTTGTTAACAGTTCCATTCCGTTCTTGTACGCTGTTTCTTATACTACAGTCTTTCTTTATAGACACACCTGTGGGAATATGTAAAAATTTTCGAAATCTCCATAGCGTTCTGTTTCACATCTTGCCTGAAAGAATCTAATATTTCTTTTTTAATTTTTGCTGTATAACTTTAAAACTCTTCAGAGTTTTTCTTACGAGAAAACACATATATTTTTCTTCTAATAACTCTTTAAAGAAACTTGCAATTAATGGCTGCTTTTTTCAAAATGTGACGTTTCACACGATTTTCTTTTCTTGAGAAAAACTTGTAAAAACACCTGCCTAAGAATGATGGTTGCATCTTCAAACGTTTACACATTATGGGGTAATGCACCAGTAAACAACGAATGCATTTTTTGGCCGTTGAACCCTAAAATTCATGACACTTTTCCTTTAAATACGAAAAGAAGAAAAGCTATATTTTGAAGATACACATTCACATGGAGACTTTCAAGCATGAAGAATTCAAGAGGGCTTTCAAATAAGGCACAGTTCAGGGTGATGGAATATGGCAGGCAACCTGTCGAAAGAAGAACAAATAAATCATTAAAAATTTACATTTTGTAACTATTGTCAAATATTACCAATTGTGTAAGTCGAGAGTTATGAAGAAGATTCATCAGAGCTGATACAATTATATGAGGGCACAAAGTAAGCACGTTCCTTGTTGGTTTCGTTAAGTTTTATAATCTTTAAAACTTTAGTTTTCGGCGATATTTATTAATAATAAATTTCCAGTTCATCATCAGTCAATTAGCTGCCACATGAAGGACGGACATCACAGAAAGTTGAAACTTGATCCACATTCAATAAAGCAAAGTAGTTGAGAGCAACTGAAGAAGGTTCCAGAAATTAAATAACAAATATGTTTTGAATTCCATCCAAAATCAGAATATTGTTGAAGGAAAACTACGTTAAGAAACGTAGGGAATAACAAATGCCAAACACCATGGTCTAAGTGGAAGGGATTGAAACATTATTGAAAATCTGTTCGGCAAAAGGCCCACCAGGTTTGTAAAGCCATCTAAGTAAGAAAGTAAGTAAGTATTTGTATTTTGTTTTCATATTTATTCTTACAATTTTTGTAATTCAAAGCCCTCTGGCAAATTATAATAGCGATTACAATAGGCATATTAAACATGTTTTTTTTTCTTTTTCTTCTTTTAAATAAACAAAATCTTCTCCAAAAAGACTAAATGAATTAATGGATAATTAAAATAATAATAATAATAATAATAATAATATAATAAAACGTTCATACATAAAGTATTCTATTATTTTGTTTTGTTTAAAGGTGACAATTCATTGTAAGAATTATGTTTATATTTCCAATAGAAACTAATCTAATGTTATTATATATGTATAGTTGTTTTTTTTTTTGCTTTTGTTTTTTTGGGAGGATATTTAATGGGTTTACATGTGATTAAGGCTATTATTATTAATAAAAAAAATTTGGACATTTGATATTGTTGATAATGTTCATTATCTTAAGATAAAGTAAATCAAACTTAACGTATCATAAAAAAGCCCATTTTTATCTAAGAGAAACAAGGGTTAGGGGCTAAGTCATTGGTTGGTTTCTATTTTGGGGGGAGAGGCAGCAAAGTTCTGCAGCACGTTTGTTTTCCAAACCAACCGACCAACCAACCGGTAACGATAGTTGAGCAAGTCTTTTGTAACTTAAAGCGAAAATGACAGGAGTTTTAGATTGAAACAAAGAAACCGTTCCCAGCGAAAACTTTAATAGAACAAATCGAGGCCAATGATACTCGATAGTTATGGAGTGTAAGATTTTTTAGAGGGAAAAACGACTTTGATATCCTTACAATTTGATTGTGAATCAATCAATCAATTTGATTATATGTGGTTCTTCTTCTACTTCCATTAAGCTAAATGGTTATGATGACAAGAATGTTTCTATTCAGACATCTGCTAAGGCAGCTACATGTTTACCACCAGCACTTTGTTGCTGTTGCTGCAGCTGTTGTTGCTGTTCTTGTTTTCTTCGTTTCTTGCTCCACATTTCGTGACAGTCCTGCCATGTGGGCAAAATTGGAGCAGACATTTCTTCAGGTTTGACATTTTTCAACCACTCCGATTTGAGGGCATCTTCTGCCGTTATACGCTTGTCAGGATCAAGCTCCAACATTCTATCCAACAAATCTAGGGCTGGTGTGGGCATAAATTCGAAATCCTCCCGCAAACGTCTTCGATAGATTCTCTTTTGTCTCAGTGTATTGAACAGTGGTAATTTTATAACATTTGGCCATACAGCCGGAACAGGAGAGCCACAAACCTTGGAGATATTCTCCAACAGCACCATTTCATAGTTGCCCTGGAACAGTGGCCGCTTTAGGAACAGTTCTCCCAATATACAACCACAAGACCACACATCAATTGCCGGCCCATAACGTTCCTCGCCAAGTAGCAGTTCCGGTGGTCTATACCACAGTGTTATTACCCTATTCGTATAGGGCCGATCACGATCGTCGGCATTGTACAAACGAGCAAGACCAAAATCGGCAAGTTTCACTTGACCTTTATTGTTCATCAAAATATTGGAACATTTAATGTCCCGGTGTAGGAAATTCTTCTTGTGACAGTAGTTCAGACCGTCGAGCAGCTGTTTCATTATGCTTGCATTATTCTCATCATTAAAGTCGACCATTCCCGATGCCAAGAGACCCATTAGGTCATGGTCCATATACTCAAAGACCAAATAAAACGATCCCTTGTCTTTGCGAAATTCGAGGGCATCTTGTTTATCGGTTACAACCTCATGTAAATTGACTATTTTCGGATGATTAAGCTGTCGTAGAATTTTTATTTCTCGCACCGCCGTAATGGGGAAGCCTTCTTTTTCATGGTCCATGCGTACTTTTTTCAGTGCAACCATCTCCTTTGTGATATTATCTCGGGCCTTATACACCTGACCGTAGGTGCCCTCTCCGATTTGTGCAATCATTTCAAAAACGTCAACGCAACGTTCACCCCAATCCCGCACATTGTTGCGCGAGTCGCGCCGGTTGAGTATAACCGGTCGCTTACGTTTGTTATTGTTTTCAACCTTTGCGGATTTATCATTTCGACCTGACTGTTGTTCGGAGGAGGAAGTGTTGGTGGTGGTGCTGTTGTTGTTTCCTAAATTATCGAAATCTTCGGGACTGTTTATCTCATCGTCACCACTGAGATCCTCGCCACCGGGAACCATGGGAGGCATTGGTAAATTGAGTAAGCTCTTGTTGGCTGGCGTTGCAGACGCCGGAGTCGCGGCCGATTTCTTATTTGCATTGGCTGCTGATGCATGCTTAGCATTTTGCAACTGGCGACTTGGCGGTGAGGGGGTTTTGGGAACTGCCAAATCCGCCGCCGTTGTTCCCGGTGGCATTGGCAGCGCAGTCAGACTCTTGGGTTTGCTTGGTTTAATGGCAAGGCCTTGTTCTTGTTTCGTTTGGCTTTTGGCGCGATCGGTTTCATCAGTACCATTCGGACTGAATAGTTGTGGCATTGGAATGTTCTTTATGTCCACTGCAGTCTTTTTAACACCATCATTAGGTACCGCTGCTGCACTGGCTGGTGCATTTGAAGATGAGATTATGGGTTGTTGGGCCGGTTTGGAAGAACTTTCGTCACCAACGGTATTTTCATTGGCTGCTGACTTTGTTAGATTACTGTCCATGGATGAACTATTGTCGTTTACTATCATTGCCCCGTTGCTGTTGCTATTCTCTTCTTGCTTTTCGATGATTTCTTGTAGCGCCTTTTGGCGCTTGTGTTTGTCCTTGACCAGTTCGGCAAACAAACTTGTTTCACTTATCTTCTTGCTGTAGTCAATGCGTTTCTGCTTCAAATCGCGCGGTGACCTTGATCGGCTTCGTGATATGCTACCTCCAGAATGACTGGAACGAGATCGCCGATATGGACGTGACGTTGAACGGCGGGAACGATGATAATGATGTGAAGCGCTTGTGGGAGAGTTTGAGGGAGATTTGGCATATCTTGAAGGCCTTGGAGACCGTGAACGCGAGGCATAACGATCGCCGCCTCGTTTCGATGATTTGGAACGTCCAGGCGATGGTGATGCTGGATACTTGTATTTATAAGTACTCTCTCGATATGTCGTTGATGGAACGGGCGATGACTGTCTGCCCTTTGCTCCCGGAAAACTGGGACTTCTTGTGAAACGCCTTCCTCCGTAACGTTCGTATTCCATTGTTCGCCTACTTCGCGAACTACTTGATTTGTGATGACTCGTTCTATCGTAATAAGACGACGAAGATGTCCGGCTGTCGTGCATTTTTCGTTTCTTATGAGGCGGTGTAGAGGGTTGGTGGTGATAGTAACTATCTGTGTCTTTATATTTATGGCTCTCAGAAACACCAGAACCGGAGGGCTGTCGCTGATGATAGTGCGAACTTCCCGAGCTAATGGAGGCATCATGCTCATGATGGTGATGATGATGTCGATGGTCGTCTTTGCCCGGGCTCAAAACATAACGAGCACTTCGAGAATCTCGACTGGCCATAGAGTTAGCGCCTGAATATAGAGGTGGGGTATGGGGAGAATGGGCACTTGGAAAGCGACTTTTGGTTCCTGAGGAACGTGTCGGTGTGCGATGGCGTGAACTCGAGATGCGATTAGTAACTGTTACTTGTAAGCCCACAACGTTATTTGCACTGCTCGATGCGGACGTTCCCGCACCGCTTACTCCCGTTGCAGCCAGATTAACAGATTTTGAATAATAGTTATGAGTGCCTTCCGAACGTATTGGGGGAGGTGTGTCCGTGGAACGAGGACTACGCTGTTTTTCTGGTGTATATGTGGGACTCTTTATGGATGCAGCGCTTACCGGTGGTGGCGTGTAGTGTCTCAGAGATACTGAGGATTCCAAAACCTCATCAAGATCATTATCAGATATTGATTCAATACTTGAGAATGACTTGGCTCTCTTCTTTTTTCGTTTCTTTGTTTTGCGACTTCTCTTGTGTTTTTTGTCCTTTTTCAATTTTTTTCTTTTCTGTCGTTTCATTTCAGCTTCCAACTCGTCAGTATCAATGGTGCCACTTGACAAATATTGTTCCAAGCCGACATCCCAATCAGATTCCTCGGCTGGATTCTTCTCGGGTATATGCACCACTGATGGGCTGGACAGAACCGATGAGCTCCTACGACTTATTTCACAAAGATCGATGTGCTCTTCAACGGTCTTTTCCAATTCTTTGCCTATTTTGTGTTTGTCGACTGTGTTGGCTTTGGTAGTTGTCCTTACAGGAGATCCAAGAATAATTCGTCGCACATGATTGGGCGAAAGCTTTGTTGAGTTTTCAAAACTCTCTTTTCGATTGTTTCTAAAGGTTTCTTCATCGCTGCTAATGTAAACATCCATTTGTGTATCCCGTTTTTGGGAAGGCACCTCGTTCGGTTTTGTACAGCTCTCAATTTCTGGATCAGAATATTCTGATGAACTTACATCCGAGTACTCCACAATGTTAGAAGAGCCTTTGTTTGCAGTCTTTTGGCTGTCTTCTTTGTGATTAGAGTCGCTGCCGCTTGGAACTTCAATTTCATCTGCAGAGTTCATTTCGGATGTGTTTTTGGGTTGTTAACAAAAGGTTTTAAAGGTAAAAGACTTTTAGAAACTCTTTTTTGTTTAGTACTTAACGTATCAAAACTTTATTATGAATGTTCCGGCTACATTCGTTAACATTTGGTTTTATTCCAATCCAATAGTTGTAACGTTCTTGAAGCCTTGAATAAAACTCCATTCCCTTTTCAAGTTTTGAGGTAGAAGTAAAGCAGCGTGCATGTTAGGAATGTTCATCCATTCAAATAAATGAAGGGTGTACGCAATTAAACAATGCTGGGGGTGGTTTTATAATTTGATTTGATTTCTTATAGAGCTGTATTAATATACTTTCTTAAAGGATATTTATAGAAATATGTTCCTCTGGAGCTGGAGAAAATAATAAAAAAGTTACTTGATTATGTTTAAACAAGTTATGCGCCAAATACTTAAAGTATTAAAAAGGTTGGATAATTCATTTTTATTTTCAATGGGGCACAAAAAACAACTGAGAGTCAGCATAATGGCACACAGCAAATTAGAAAATATATTAATCATTCAGTTCCAGGCTTTCCCATTTCGTCATTAGCAATTGAAAACAAAAAATGTTTAATCATGCCAGAGTATGAGTTTGTCAATCTAAGCCTAGGCCAAAGAAGTTCTAAGTTCCTAATTAACAACTACAACTACCGAAAAGAATACTTAATAGGTATACAGATGTGTTTTTCATTCCACGTAGGATACGTTGCATATTTTGGAATAATAAATGTCACTTATCAGCAAGTGAGGACTTCTTTTGCTGGAAAGATCGCGTTTAATGTGTGCTAGACATTTCCCATAAAAATTGCCAACACTTAGACAATATTCGTTAAACAAAATCCTTTTCAATATATCTTTAGTTTAATAAAATACGTTGATTATTATTTTTATTTTGTTTGGCCTCATTCATTCTCTTTCAAGCTGTGCTGCTCTTTTTTGTTTGCTCTCAGATCGTCGTCGTCTCTATCTCTCTTTCATTATCTTTGTATTATGTGTGTTACTTGCTCTCTGTTCTTTTTGGCTCATCATATAGTTAAATAAGTAAGAAAAAGGTGGCACAAGAAATTACCTAATGTGAAATAAGGAAATAATAAAAGAACCTCGTATTTGGCTTTCTTTTGAAATGCCTAAATTTAAATTGATTGCTTGGTGGTAATGAAAATAAACATAAAGCTCTCGGAACACCGACTTTCACACCGTCTTTAGATAAATACTGTTAGAGGAACACGAATCTGAAAAAGAAAACAAGAATATATTAGAGTTGGTGATTGTAGAAACAAAAAGGGTAAAATATATTTGGGGTAAATGGTTATTAAAGTAATACTCGAAAATTAAGAAAATGGAATATAAATTGAGAATAATGGGAATCAATATTATTATTTTTTAATTTAACAAGTATTTTCCTGGTATTTATTAAAAATTATTTAGAAAATTCACAAATCTGGCTATTGAAAAATGTAACCACGAAATATACGAATTTTTCTCCCATAATTTTTACAAGATATCCTTCAAAATCTTCGAGTATATATTTAAAGCAGCGTCAATATTTTTAAAATGACTAGCACAGTTCCCATATTTATCGAACCAAGTGTCGCTTTCCAAGTTCAAGATATACCAAATCCAGGCACGTTAGCGCTGCATCCATAAAGAGTCCCACATATACACCAGAAAAACAACGCAGTTCTCGTTCCACGGACACACCTTCCCCATACGTTCAGAAGGCACTCATTATTATTATTCAAAATCTATTACATATGGCTGCAACGGGAGTTGGCGGTGTGGAAACCTCAAATAACATTGTGGATTTACAAGTAACAGGTACTAATCGCATCTCGAGCTCTCGTCATCGCACACCGACACGTTACTCAAAAACTAAAAGTCGCTTTCCAAGTGCTCATTCTCCCCATACCTCTATATTAAGGCGCTAACTCTATGGCAAGTTGAAATTATCGGAGTGCTCGTTAGGTGTTAAGCCCAGGCAAAGGCGACCATTGGAATCATCATCACCACCATGGGCATGATGCATCCTCTAGCTCGGGAAGATCGCACTATGATCAGCGACAGCCCTCCCGATCTGGTGTTTTTGAGATCCATAGATATTTAGATAGATAGTTACTATCACAACAACCCTCTACGCCGACTCATAAGAAACGAAAAATGCACGACAGCCGAACATCCTCGTCGTCCTACTACGATAGAACGAGTCATGACAAATCAAGTAGTTCGCGAAGTAAGAAAACAATGAAATACGAACGTTAAGGAGGAAGTCCCAGTTTCCCGCGAGCAAAGGAAAGGCCGTGATCCCCCGTTCCACCAACGACATATCGAGAAAGTACATATAAATACAAGTATCCGCCTGGACGTTTCAAATCATCGAAACGAGTCGGTGATCGTTACGCCACGCGTTCACGGTCTCCAAGACCTTGAAGATATGCCAAATCTCCCTCAAACTCCCTCACTAGGGCTTCACATCATTATCATCATTCCCGCCGTTCACCCCCATTCTGGAGGTAGCGTATCGCCAAGCCGGTCAAGATCGCCGGGCGATTTGAAGCGGAAACACAATGACTATAGCAAGATAAGTGAAACCAGCCTTTTTGCCAAGCTGGCCATGTCAAAATACAAGCGTCAAAAGACCCTACAAGAAATCATCGACAAGCAAGAAGAGAATAGCAATAGCAACGGGGCAACGACAACAGTTCATCCATGGACAGTAATGAAAATACAGTTGGTGACGAGGGTTCGTCCGAACCGGCTCAACAACCCATAATCTCATCTTCAAATGCATCAGCAGCGGTACCTGATGATGGTGTAAAAAAGACTGCAATGGACTTAAATAACATTCCAATGCCACAACCGTTCAGTCCAAATGGAACAGATGAAGCCGATCTAAAAAAAAAACAAGGCCTTGCCACAACACCAAGCAAACCCAAAAAGTCGGAACGCGCTACCAATACCAATGGAATAACAGCGGCGGATTTGCAGTTCCCACAGCTCTATGACCCACAGTTGCAAAATACTAAGCAGCTAATGCAATTCAGAGATCGGCCGCGACTACGGGGCTGCAACACCAGGCAAAAAAAGTTTTCTCAATTTACCAATGCCATTTACCTCCAGGTGGCGAGGCTCCCAGTGGTGAGAATAAAATAAAAAGTTCCGAGGATTTAGATAAGTTAGGAAATGCAACATCACCACCACCATCTCCTCCTCTGTCCAAGGGTCAGGTCGAAATGCTAAATCGACAAAGGTTGAAAACAATGACTAACCGACGGGCATACTTGTTGTCGAAAATGACACTCGACTTGGTGGCACTTGACAGCTTAAGGGCAGCCTGGCTTTTGACATATATAATCACTGGCTTGAATTTGATATGAATATCTTGAATATTCAGTAACTGAATGCTCTTGAGAGCTCCGTTTGTCAGTAAGAGCACAGCTCTCTGAATTGTGAAAAATTTGGACGTGAGCGCCCGAAACTTAATCGCATGCCGCCAGATTAGGCACAAATAGTTCAGAACAGGTAAAAACACCATTAAATACTCTTTTTCGTACGCTTCTCGATGTTCTAGCTCGTTTTAACTCTGATCCGAGATAATTTGGAAGTATTTGGCGAAGAGGTATTCAGTTAAATTCTTTCCAGCGAAAATTTATTTTGAGTTTTTTTGCGCCCATACGTCAGAATAGGAAAGACCACTATGACATACATCTAGTGTACGATTTGTAGTCTGAACCCCCAGCTCTTCTCTATGGCGTTCTTGCATTTTCTTTTTCGTAAGCTCCTCGATGTCCTGGCTCCAGTAAAAACGCTGGTCCAAGATCGTATCGAAATATTGGGCGCTGGAAGAAAGATTCCATCCAGTACTGGTAGCGAAAATGTATATATGTTTCTTGTGTATACAACAAGTTCAGTCTTTGCAGGGTTTAATCCCAGACAGATGTCAAGGGCCCACCCAGACGGCTGTACTGGTACTCTTTGCATTAAGCCTGAAATAGTTGGAAGAATGCTATCGATTGTGAACAAAATTACATTATCAGACGATCACGAACATGTATTTGCCGCCTCCCATCGCAGCTGAAGAGCGAGAGCTGTCCCCATAAACCCGAGTAGTTTTGGCTCAGTTAAGATCCGGATGGTGCAGCCGCCTCAATTAGTATTGGGCCAGGACCGACAACGATTTGCAGAACATCTGCCCAGCTTGTGGCACAGGTCCACTTGACACGCTGTCCCTATTTCACTGTCCAGCCAAACCTACTCACCTAACTCCAGTCTCGTTGTGGACCCAACCCGTTCAGATCGCATCCTTTTCGAGACTGAACTTAAAGGCAGAACCCGATTGGGAGGAGTGAGACCGAACACAGCAGTGTGAGCTGCTACAACAACAACAACTACATTATCGGAGGTACCCTGCGGTGTATCTCTGCTGACAGATTTCCTAATTGAACTCTCTCCCAAACTTGAATTATTCTGCTATGCAATGTTTTCAATGTAGGAAGTGACAGAGGCTCTGTGAGCATTGTGAATCGACTCCAGTTGTACATTGTTGTAAGCCCCCTCTATATCGAGAAAAGCTGCCAATGTAAAGTTGAAGTTTTTTCGTATTTTTGAAATGTGGTTGAAATATAAAATTTATATAAATTTTATATTGGAAAATTTCCCGAACCTTTTCTGCATAGCAAGATAAAATTAAAGGTTTGGAAGTTTTTGTGTTTAATATTTGCTAGTATTTTCACAAGACAGTGATTTGGGATAGAAGGATTTTTTTCCTTTGTAGGAATGTTCAAGTGATTCCAGACAATATAACTTTTCCCTAAAGAACTCGTGATAACAAGGACTTGCTAAGCATAGGACCTAGCATGGTACAATGAAGAGAAGGTAGGTCAACTTTGAAAAAATTGCAAGTATAGAGGTCTACCTGTTTGGCTTGTAATGTCAGAATTACTATCAAAACAATAAAAAAGCAAACAACTTGTTGCATTGATTTTGAATAAATAATTTAAAACCGCGAAAACTGAATGAATGGTCAAAATTTCTTTTCAATATCATGTTCTATATATCTCTTATGGTTTATTTCGCGACAAAAATGGTAGATTTTGTCGATGCATTCGTTGCAATAAGCATTTTGAAAACACACGAATTTGAATATTTTCTGAACATTTTTTTATTATTGAAAAGAATACACACACATAAGCAAATGAATTTGACATATTAAGCCAGAAAAATAAAAAAATTTAAATCATATGGTAGTTCTGCCCTACCTTGAATTCATTGTACCATGGGACCTAGCTTTTTTTGCATTTTTATTATGTCGTTTATGTTTAATACGTAGGTTACTTCAAAAAGTACTACTTATTTCTGAACCAATTCAGTTTTTTAAGGTTAAGCCTTTATAAAATGATCAACATACATACAAACATGTATGATGTGCCATTAAATCGAATAGCCCCAAATATTAAGAATTTTAATTAAAGAAAAATAGGTTTATGCATTTCAATTTGAATTAAAAATACATGCTGATGGCAAACATTTAGTTGACATACTGTCTGCAGGTATGTACCTTATTTTGGCACCGACAGTACAAACAACATATCAACAAATATACTAAAAACCCCCATTAACATATAGGCAAGTTCCCAAATGCTCTTCTTTTAATATTGATCGGTCCGAGAATTACGAACGGCCAATAAACATTTAGAAGCTCACGATTGCAGCAATACAAACAAAACGTTTGACCCCAGAGAAAAACATCAATAACAAATACCACGTTGCGATGTATAGTACAGTTGTTTATGAATGAGAAAGTTGCAACTTCAATGGCAACAACAACAATGACGGGAATTGTGACAAATTTCGATATATTATTAACATTGTTGTAATTCATATGTAAGGTGTACAACCAAAAACGCTCAACATACTGAAGTTGCTACAATGTTTCTAGAAGCTTATCTGTACAACGCACAACTTAAATGACCGTTTTCGTGAAGAATTCACTTTGCCACCCTCGTCGATAAGGGGGACAGTCAAATTAGATTTTACCTCATATCTCAAAGGATAGGAGTTTGGGAGAAAATGCTTGGCCTTGACTCGAAAGAATTTCGATGTAACGCATTAACCCAATGAAAATAGGTGTATATTAATCACTTCATTAAAAATTGTTTTCCACCTCCTATTTTTTAATCTTAGTTTTGCAAATTCATAGTTGATTGTGCGTGTGAGTTTGGTCGCTCGGTCGCCGTGAATGTTTTTCTTTTCAATTTGTTCTAAATCTTTGGAATTTTACGCTTAAACTCAACAATAATACTTACATAGAGTATTAGAACTTTCCATTAATTTGTGTATTGTTTATTTTTATTGTAATTTTAATCACACTTTACGAAAAACTTGCGTGCTGCTTGAAAAAATGAAAAATCTTTACACAATATATAATACCGCTTTTGACAGTTCTACAGCTGATTACTTCTTCTTCTTGTTCTGGCGCTGCCACATTGTGAAGTGGCATGACATGAATGCTATGTTAATGTTGCCACCTTCATGGGTATCATGTATTTCCCGGGGATGTGGTAGATTTGTTACGTTTTTCATGGGACTTGCCATGGTCCAGCACAAGGGCGTAAAGTACTAAGCAGAATGAGCGCGTTTAGCCATTTTACGTATCATATATTGTCGATACAGAAACAACCACAGCGAGAGGGGTTTATTGATGTTGAAAGACTCCCAGTAGTAGGTGTTTTATCGACATATTGACATGTAAAATGGCTCAACGTATCCATTTTGTTTGCAACTGAAAGAAGAAGAAGCTTGAAGTCATGGCTAGGCATATTTTGTGACATTTCATTACAGAGCCGCAATTAAATCCTGCCGTCGTTTTTCATTATAATTTGCCTATTAATATGCCTAGCCATGACTTCAAGCTTTGTATGTACTTGCACCTTAAGAGTGAGGACATGGCTCAACGAGAAAGGTTAATCAACTTCAAGAAACTAACTTTAAAAAAAGAAACTAATTTTAAAATTGTCTTTGACAAAATTACTATATTGGAAATTATGCAACTGAATTTGAAGTAATTTCAAATTATTTATATTTTTTATTTAAAACAATACACAAACATATACAAACTGTGTAAATGTTTTGACAAAAAAAATTGTATTTAGGAGATAGCTTTGTTCTACCTTCTGTAATTGTGCCATGACTGAGGGTACATTAACAGTTTGCACTTTGGCTAGAAATATTAATGTAAAATTAGAAGGGGAAACGGCGCCAGGGTTCGAGTGCGGCTCTTTCATCCCTTTATAATATGTCACAAAATATGCCATGCGAGTGCTTCAAGCTGCAAAATGTATTATTCATGTTGGACATAAGATAAAAAGAAAAAGGTGAGATAAATATAAACCATGGTAGAATTAACAATTAAAATATTGTAAGTTCGGTCGGATCGAACTTTTCTTACCTTCCACCATGACATTTATAAAGTCCAAATAAGTATTTATGACATTTCTTTTGGTAATGCAATTAAGGTTTGACTTGTAATGTCAGAAACCAAACGACTTGGTGCATTGATTTTGAATAAATACACCTAAGTCTGTTTTTACACGGTAGATTGGTTCCAGAAGAAGCCGTGTAAAAAAAACCGTGTAAAAAAGACATTGATTTTATGGGTGATTTGTTCCTAATGGGTGATTTGTTCCTAATTTCTAAAACCTATTAAAATTAGTGAAAAACAAGAATTTTTAAGAACAAGAATTCATGTCTATTTTATTAAATCAAATATATAATGCTTGTGCTATTCACTATGCTTTGACCAGTAAAAAATGTTTGTACGCGCTAAAGGGGAATTCACTTAAATCTCTAAGCTAGTGTTCGCAAACTATTGATACTATCGATGGTTTCAGACTTTTTTCTTTCATAAATACTTCTTTGTGATATAAACATACTTCGCAAAAATTAAATTTGACAAAAAAATTTAAGTACATAAAATTTCAAATCGTGCTAAATGGAATAAAATCGTGTAAAAAATTTAAAAATATTCAATTTTCAAACCGTGTTATATCAAAACCGTGTACAAAAAGACCGTGTAAAATCAGACTTAGGTGTAATTGAAAACAGCAAAATCTGAATGAAAATTAAAAATTTTGAAAACAACCGAATTTGAAAGATTTCTAAAAAAAACATTTATTATTGAAAAAATACACGCATAAAAAATGAAGTTGACGTATTAAGCCTTGATTTTATTGTACAGTTTGTCGCATGGTACAATAAGGAGGTAGAACAGCTTCGTAAAACTACAGGCCTGATGCTATGCTCGCTTCCTGTCAGACTAATTCAAATTATATACAAAAAGTTGTTTTCATTTATTTGATAGTTTTCCCCATTTTTAAAATGAGTTAAAAATTGCGAACAATTAATAAAATGTCTCTATAGTGTTTCTTTCAAAAAAAAAAAAAAAACCATTCAAATTTTTAAATTTTTGAATTTCATGACGCAACTGGTTAATATTTGTAAAGCACGTCCTGTAATGTACGTATCTTCCAATCATTGATTATGAAAATAATTTGTTTTCATTTTTTGAAGCAATAAATACATACACAAAATTGCAGAAGTCGCTCTTCCTTACCTTTTTACTGTAACTTGGTTTGTCGCTTTACGACAAAGTTGGACGATAACCCCCAACTTCGAACTTCATGTAAGATTTTCTGACCCAAAGCACTTAATTTCAGTTCCTTCGGAAGATAGCGTGATTACAACAGACAAAGCAGAGAAGTTCTGGAACGGAGCATATATCTTAGGTAATGTTCTACTCAATTGTTCTTTGTTAAACCTGATGTTTTATTTTTTTTCGACAATATTCATTTGTTTTTCCTTTTCATTTGTTCGTAATTTCGAAAATAGCATTTTTTTTTTTTTTTTTTTTTTTTTCGAACGTTCCCACGCCTCACATTCCCACCCCTGCCGACCGAGGGGGCGACCTCCCTTTACGGAGGGATCGCGTACACATCATGATCCGCATCATAATGGGAATTCAGTAGGAAATTTAAAACCAGCTACAGAATTTAATTCATCAGCTAGTTTGTCAAATAATAAAACATGTATGTTAATTGTTTAAAAATAAAATTATTCTAGATTTAATAACTTCTAAACTCATACCAAAATCTACATTACAGTACACAGAATTAAAGTCAACACACATTTTACTAAGAGGTTCGCCCATTGAATAATTCGTGCGGTGAAAATCAGTATATAATAATTGGTAGTATCTACTAGATCTAAACGGAACATTAATTCTAATAGATGAAATGAGAAAATCTGAGGGTATATTACCATTTAATATTTTTAGTACAAACATGGAGTTCAACATAATACGTCTGCTTTTAAGTGTAGGCAATCTAATTAATTTTAGCCTGCTAGCATAAGAAGGCAAAACAAAATCACTATTCCAATGTAAACCTCGTAAGGCAAATAGCAGAAATTGTTTTTGCACGGATTCTATTTTATCTGAGTATATTGCATATTGAGGATCCCATACAACAGAACCGTATTCCAATATAGGTCTAACAAGAGACGTAAATAACTTTTTTGTTATATATGGATCAGAAAAATCTTTGGCCCACCGTTTAACAAAACCTAAAACACCATTTGCTTTATTTACCATTGTTATTACATGGCTATTAAAATTTAATTTTGGATCCATCAAGAGGCCAAGATCAACAAATGAATCTACAGTTGATAATGAATGACCGTCAATATTATATTTTAATATCAGAGAAGAAGATCTGGAGAAGCACATATGCTTACATTTGCTTAAATTTAACTCCATACAATTTAACGTGCACCATTTAAAAAGGCTATCTAAATCGTTTTGAAGTTAACTCGCTCGTTTATCACAATTATGGGAAATGAATAATTTAACATCATCTGCGTACATTAACAATTTCGAGTAATTTATGGAATTAGGTAAATCGTTGATAAATAAAAGAAAGAGGACCGGTCCAAGGTGACTTCCTTGCGGAACACCCGATGGAACGTTAATCGTTTTGGATAGATACCCTTCAAACAAAACTAGTTGTGATCTATTTTGTAAGTAAGATGATATCCATTTGACTAAGTTTGTGTTGAAACCCATATAATTTAATTTATATATTAGGAGTTCATGGTTAACCCTATCAAAAGCTTTACTAAAATCGGTATAAATTGTATCAGTTTGTTTACGCTGAACAAATCCTTTTATTACTGTTGACGTAAATTCTATAAGATTTGTTGTAGTTGAAAGACCACTACGAAAACCATGCTGATATGGACTCAATATAGATTGAATTTTCTGTGAAATTACTGCAGTAATTAATTTTTCAAACAATTTTGGTATGGCACTTAATTTTGCAATTCCTCTATAATTTGACACATTAGTAAGACTACCAGACTTATGTAAAGGTATAATATAAGATTTTTTCCAAAAAGTAGGAAAGTGACCAAATTTAAGTGAATAATTAAACAATATAGTTAACGGAAGTGCTAATGTTTCTGAACAATATTTAAGAATTATATTAGGTATGCCATCCGGTCCTGGACATTTAATCGATTTTAAACTACGCAGACTATTGGACACATCATGACGTTGTAGAAAAGGCATACAAATTTGATCAGCCTGTGATAACTTATAAGGATACGAATCTTTAATTTGGCAAGATGTACTGGAATAGGTTGTGGCAAAAAAATCTGCGAAACATTCAGCAATATCTGTGCCTGTGACAAATTCTTTATTGTTATATTTCAATACTGAGGGCTTTGAGGAAACTTTTCGTTTTAGATTAACAAAATCATAAAAAGATTTAGGATTGGATTTAACATTATTTTTAATCTTGTCTAGGTAAAGATTATACAATCGTCGAGACTCTAAAGTATATTTAGATCTAGCAACAGAGTAATTAGTATAGTCTATTGTTAAGCCTGATTTTTTATATTTACGAAAAAGCTTATTTTTAGAATTTTTTAAACTTGATAACTCAGGGGTTATCCATGGATATTTATTTGAATTTTTAACTCTAGTGGTTGGAACACATTCCAGTTTAAATCTATTTAAAATATCATAAAATTGATCAATTACATATTCTAAATCTGTATGGCTGTTACACAGGCACACAGAAGCCCAATTTATGGAGGAAATGAGAGTATTAAGTTTTCGAAAATTAGTTTTTTTGTAATTAAGGACAGTTTTAAATGAGTCGGACTGACTTTCTTCAATTACATAACTGTGAGTCATGGAGATATATAAAGTTGGATGGTATATATCTTCAGGAGTGCATATTGGAGGAATTCTGAATATATCAAAATGCTGTGTTATATTTACAAACGCCAAATCAAGAATTTTGCCATGCGAATTTTTTACACTGTTTATTTGATAAAGATTTAAGTCACACAAACTATGTACAACATCAAATGTATACTGGGTACTGTTCATTTCAGATGGCAAAGGAATCAAAGCTT